TCGATGGTTCCAGGATATACGAGTAATACTTCGAAGACACCTATGATCAAACTGTAGTAATCTACGAATATCCTCTATTTCTACTGGCCATGTTTCACACCTGTATAATATAGCGGAGAAGGCTGGTGAGCTGTAAACTCGTTCTTTGGTTAGTGGACGAATATCTCACCGACGCCATAAATAACGGAAGTTGGCAAAAGCCGATCAAACCTTGCATATCCGTTTGGGGAGTTCGTCACACCAGAAAATCAGTACCGATGAGACTCCCGAGATACGTGAAGCTTCCAAACACGCTCAACTACCTCGCCCTTCATCATTACTTCAGATGACAATACAAGCCAATCCTGAAGCAAAATTTTGCATTTTGAAGTGGAGAATCGCATCGCGAACATGCTTGCATTGCTGCTTAGGGTGATCGAAACACTGCATTTTGTCGATATCTTCATCAAATCGAACTGTATAAACAAGGGAATCCTGGTAAAGTTCAATTCTTCAAAAGTCAGACGATGAGAGTGTCGTCCTTAAGAGCATGTCGATGATAATGTCAGATAGGAGTGGAGAAAGCAGACAACCCTAATGAACATTCCTTAAAGTAATCACTTCTGATGACAGTTCGTCATAAGCTCTGACTCGACCGGTAGTGTTCGATTAGAGAGCCTATACATGGTTAATATACTTGTTTGGTACTCCTTTCAATGATAGATTATCAAACGCTGGTTTAAGGCCAAGGAATGAAACTATTATCGGATACCGAAATGTGTGTTTATGTTCTAGAACCTGACGATGTGTGTATATCTGGTCCATACATCCATGTCCAGGTCTGAAACCAACCTGGTTTTCTCAAATTTGCTCTTGTCGAGTTCTAACTAGACTTTCAAGTATAAGTAAACCTGATCTTTTAGACACTATATCAGTTAAATTTATTTCTATTTAACTGTTGCAAGAGGACTTACATGATCATTAATTGAGACTACTCAGATGGGATAACGTCCAGTTCTCAGATTTTAGCCAGGACCTCAGTGAATCTAACTGCTAAAACTGGACCACCATCCTTAAGAATCTCAAGAATTAATCCATCAGATTCTGCTGCTCTACCTCGCCTTAGATTGCCTACAGCCTTTTCAGCCTTATCAAGAACAAATAAAGTTCTGATGAATCCTTATATTTATATCATAATAAAATAATCTAGGTAACCGTAAATTTACTCTCATATGTTTCTGTAGGTTAATTTATAAGCATTCGATCAAGATTTCATTTTCTATGAAGTATGTTCAGCGAATAAAACAATCCATTTTGGATGATTAACTTCTGGAAATATAGAAAATAGGATTTAATTTGTCGCTTGTATCCGATTCCAAAGCTTGGTACGTATTCATCAAAAAACTGTCAGCTAAATAAAGTAACATTACAAATGATGCGGACGTTTGATATATAGTTGGTGACTATCAGGTTAAACTGCTAGAGGAACTTCTTGTTCGTATTACTGTTGAAGATGGGAGAGAACGCTAGAACTAGGTTTATAACGTGTTTATTTTGAGTATAACAGTCCAATACCAATAAAGGTAACTTGAATTAGAATATTTCGAGCTAAAAGCAATTTAGAAAAACATCTCGCCTATCACAACCCTCATCAGCATACCATATCATTCAGAACAAAGTCAAATGTCACCAAAATCTCTTCACTTTCAAAACTACCAAGATTGTAGAGGAGAGAACTATACGTCATAGTTATCGTTGGTATCTTTCAACTGAGTAAATAGGCTTTCAGTAGTTTGTATGCTCTCTCTTGGGATGTCATCCTGGTGCATGCACTACAGGTCTATTATGTCCTTTAGAGAAAGTTCTACATTACTACTGTAATCGACTCAGCGCTGGGATGAAGTTTCTTCTAATAGCAAGGTCGGTAGGTAATAATGATACCTAGTGGTTCTTCTCTGGTTTTGAATACTATAAGTACATGACTGTATTCATTGTACTAGATGCGTTTCTCTAAACAAGCTTTAAGATTTCGTTTTTTCAGGCAGGCACCCTTATCAGACAGTTTTGAACCAAGATCTATGTCAACAAAATACGATTACTGGCATAAAGCTCATATTATTGTTCTCAAGCATTTCTCTAAGGATCGGGACTCAATAAATCGATTCACTTTCTTGTAAAATTTAAGCTGTCAGCTAGTTATGTCACGTTTTATACTGTTTGTGTATTATATTAGTTGCTGGCGTTTTCGATACAAGTGTGGTAAACTGGTGTTTATCATTATGAAAGAAGCACTGTTTAGTAAAATACTGAAGCGATTGATGATTAATGATGGAACTATATTCCGAATTCTGAATATTTAGACATAGGTTGTAAAATTAAAACCGATACAGAAATATTCTGAATGACAAAAGTTTGGGCCAACCTTATATAATCGCAAATGATTGAAACTTTTTTTGTCTATTAGATCATTGGTAACTACTGTTACAGTATTTGCAGCTCCCTCTGGTGGCAGAACTTAGCTTTAACTATCGTTAGGGTATCTGGATTCTTTTTCTTGTTCCTTAATTACTGGGAATTTTCCAAAGAATCTAATCTTTGACCCAGAGAATGTTTATTTTAGCTTTAAATGGTCATGTCGAATCCATGAACATCTATTTGTTATCTTTTCAATTTACCTTACTATATTTCTAGAAATAAGCTTCACCCCTTCACAAAAAATTGACTATCTCAACTAGCGAGTTTTAACTTGATCATAATTTAATTCGTAAATAGTGTGTAGATATTGGTTTCGAACTCAATTATGGCTATTCTGTCGAGAAGTTTACTCGCCGAAACCCTTTGTCGAAATGGAACAATGAAGGCAGTTGGTTGTACGCCCTCATCCCACCAGGCATTCGTATATAAAGCCTTTGAGATGTTAGTAAACTTCTCAAACACCCTTCAACAGACAGTGCTAGATAGCAGTCTTGTTCAACAAAACAAGGGGGTCCTTATATTGAGAACCATAATAATTGTTGAGGTGTAATCTAAGTTAGTCTAAAGGGACTCAGTAAATCCTATTTTTCGTAGATTAATTTCAAGGCTGAAGTATACCGAAAACCAGTATTCAGCTCTCATGGTCTTTCTATTCATCATTGACATTTAAAGATGTTTAAACGTTTTATTTTAGCAAACAATTCTTAAACTGTTGCTTTTGTTGCGAAATCTAATTCTGCTTATAGCTATCCTTCTGTTGATGTACTTTTTCAGTGTTGATGCAAGCTTATATTAAGAGTTTGTTCTGGATGGTAACCTACAAAAATATCATTATCGATCCTTATAACACAAAAACAAATGTTATCGGATAGTAGTAATAGTCAATTCTCAGTATTATTCAACACCATTAGGAATGTAAATCGTGCAAATGAAATATGGTTCTTGGAGTTGACGTTTTATGTTCAATCCTTTTCTATTTTTAGCTAGTCACCTTTACTTACTTTGTATTACTTGGTCACTTTTAATCAATACCTATGAAAAAAGTCAGAATAATAACGAGATGATGTAGCACTTCGTAACTTATAACTGCTACCTTAGCAAACAAACGTTTTATTTACATGATGGTTTGTTTTACATCTTTGTTACAAATGAAACTAATCTACCTATTTACTTGAAGTCTTACAATAACTTTGTGTAAACCCTGGTTAAATGTTCGCAATCACGACTCTGGAGAGCAAACGTAACATCCCTCGACCTTCATTTATCTGTTTTTTGGATTGAATCTTTAATTTCAACGTGAATTTCCGTAGGCTTTATTCATTACTTACTCTTATTACCTTTGATGGAGCATAGGCTGCCGAATAGCGTTCTCAAATCAACTCTGTTCTAGACCTTTCCAGTTATACCCGATTTCCGTTCATTCTCTTCATTTCTGGTTCCGATTGTCGTCGTAACGTGTTATTTGGTGTTCCTTTTTTCCTTTGGTCGTGAAGGTTTCAAGTGACGGCTTACCCTGTGATTCAGTTGAGTGCTATCCATAATATGCGTCTTATCCACCTCGGGGGCTTCTTCCTGATTTCTCCCTCTGCTTGGATCTGGCTTGTTCTCTCCTATAGTAAGTTGTTGCTGATAGTGTCTGGCTAATGGACCCGAAGCATTTTGTATAGACAACTGTTAATAAACACTTGTATTTTCTGGATGACAGGTTTCATGGTTTTCCAAGTTTCTACTGCACACAGTAGAACTGTCTTGACATTTGTATTGAAAATTCTGACTTTGGTATTGGTTGATAGTTGTTTCGAGTTCCAGGTGTTGTTCAACCGTAGAAATGTTGGCCTTGCTTTGCTAATTCATTTCTTTCCATCTGCATTCGACCCACCTTGTTTACCATATTCATCATCATATTCACCTATAAAATGAATTTTAAACTTCAAGTAAACTGGGATTTCTGTATGCATAATCTGTCTTCACACATGTATCTGTTTTGGATATTCCTAATTCAGCTTTTCACTGTTTTTAGTAATTTGGGTCTTCAGTTTTAGTGACCAATCATTTTCGTCGATAAGGTTGTTAAGAGATAATGATTAGAATTCTAAAAATGGTAAATACTTGGTCATTATCTGCCTACCAGTTGTTGGTTCACTGATAATTGTTTTTAATTAGAGATCATCACTGTTTCTTGAAAATTTACTCCATCTTGATACCCTTACGTCAATAACATTTGCTTGAACGTGCCGTTTGGAAGTAATAATGAAACATATTATTATTGTAAGAAACTCAGAATAATATACGAAGAAATCATTAACCACCAGAAACATATTTGGAATATATTAGGTTAGAATCACGAACTAGATGATGGAAGATACCTTGTTAAATCTTTTTTCCGCTCTCAAGGATAGGAAGGAGAAGAAGCACACATTGATAAGATGGAATACGTAGGTCCAAGCGCCATGTATTAACCGTACCGAAAGAACAAGATTCGAGCGTGGATAAATCAAATTGGTTTACACTGGCTCGTGAAAAAGATATTGAATTAGATATTGGATATTGGACTCACGTGTACCACATACGAAAATATACGTTACTATCTTCCAGTTACCATTATCAATTTGTCTTAATCTCACGCCTGTGTAATTCCTGATCGCTGTTGACTGTTTTCCTACTAAATCTAGGTGTTACTTGTGGGCTTACTGATTTGCTGGCCCACTTCATTGTTTCCAGATAATCTCAAACTGCGTCACACCACCTAGGTCCCTTGGGGCTAAACACAAATTTACCAAAGGCTGGAGGTTATAAACGTGCTTTAATCATCTTGTTTGAAGTTATTTGTTCTACACTACAGTCACTCTACTTTTGATAAGCGGAGACCGGATTCAGTCCTTCAACAAAATGCATCTTTTCGGGCGTAAAAAAGATCCAAAGGTTCAGTTAAAAGAAATGACCTCTGTCTTAAGGAGACAAAAATATACTCTTCAGAGAGACATTCAAACCCATCTACGACAGCAAAAACAACTAGAAATGGCTATTAAGAAATGTGCTAGAGAATCGGACATTCCTTCTGCTAAGGTTTACGCCAAAGAATACGCAGAATCTAAAAAAACCATTGGCCGTTTGTATCTTGCGATGTCCCAAATAGACAGTGTGGCTATGGAATTGCGTCACATGGCTTCAGTGAGTCAGCTTACCAGTGGTATGGAAAAGAGTACAACAGTCATGAGTGCCATGTCGGCCCTAGTAAAGGTAAGTGTTTTAAAGAGGTTGTATTTTTCTGTCCAGCATATAACGTAGTCCATTGCTACATGTTTAAGAAATTTGTTACTTCAGAGTTTAATATGCAACAAAACGCCTGGGTGCTGGACTATTTGGTAAACTATTTAGTAAACAAGCTTAATTGATGAGGGATTTTTATCATCAGTTCTATTCAGAATTTAGTTCTACTAAATTTTGATTATCATAGATGAATTTCCTCCCGGTATTTTCGTCATTTATTATATAGGTGGGGTCAACCTGTGTGGTTTTATTTGTACTACAATTCATTTCATAATCTGATTTATTACACATAATATTTAACTGACACCGCCATCCAGCATCAATTTTTACCATACTGCTATCACTCGGATTTTTGAAATAAGTTTTGTGGATTTGTCAATCAGTATCAGATTTGTGAATGTTAAGTCTCTTGACGATTTCCTTCATCTTAGCTGATATTGTTTATTTTGATAACGGAATTTCAACTATGACGAAGTTGAACAGAAGTAAGGAAAGAAAACAATCTTGATGAAAACCAATTAATGTTATCGATTCCGATAACATTTCGACATAAGCTATAACTTAACCGATAGTTTTCTGGCAAAAAGCCTGTACATCGTTGCACTTTAGTAGTCTTTCAATGACAAATGCGGCTATATTACTTATCACCAGAGTCAAATGATACCTTCAAGGAAAGTAATACGACTGTGTCTGTAAGTCATTAGATATACTGGTCTGAGAACCTGGAAGACGTCGAATATTTATTTTATGCTGGTATGTCAGCTCAGGTCAGCGGAAATTTCTGACGGGCTTTATATTTATCGCGTTCAGGTCTGAAACCGGCCTTCCTATACCGGGTTCGCTCTTTATGAGCCCTGTTAGGTGTGGAGTAACGATTGTAATCTATTTTTCGACACCATATGAGTCAAGTGCACTCTAATTATCACAAGAAGAAAAACTAGAACAATTAGCAGTTGAGACCAGTCAAACGGCGCTTCGTCCAATTTCCAGATTTTAACGAGTATCTCAGTCAATCTATTCGCTAAAACTGAACCACCACTCCCAACTATCTTCGAAAATAATCAATCGGAAGATGGTTCACTTATATTGGGAGTCTTATCAGTCCTGATGGGGTGACATGGCGAAATCTTGACTCCTGTAGGTTCTACCGTGCCAGGCAGGTCGATTAGAGAATGATGAAAACAGAAACAGCTACTCAAGGTCTGAAGGCGCAGTTGTACTGCTGGCTGTAGATGGATGTGACAGCATTAAGGTGTTTCACTCGGACAACCAGCATCTGCAGTGATGCTGCCTTCTCACAAAGAAGGAAGTGGTTAGAAATGTCGACCCTAAAAATGTCACACCTTACCTTTCCTCACATATTTCCGTCTCCGGCGGCAAGGCCTTTTAGTCAAGAGCGGAGCTAACCCTTTAAAAATTCATGAAAAAGTCGTGCGTGAGCGGCCTCAAGTAATTGTTCATTGGGCTCTGCGTTCATGCTCGGGTCTCTCAGACGAACGCTTATCAAACTTTTTCAGGTTCCTCAAGAAACACCCACAGTGAGGGCAGCCGGGAAGTGACATCTCCCCTCATACTCTTAACAGCTCACGAGACCAAATTGGCCACAATCGAATCCTTCCCATACCCCCTAACATCTCTCTTATCTTCACGACTAAACCTTCCTTTACTATCCTGCACCGTAAATGCAAACAATTTGAGTACACGAAACGTTACCTGGTCTCCTGAAACCCCGTTTTGAACTACATATTGTGAATCAGTTTAAAGTTTTGGTCCAACTCTTCTGTCAGTATTAATTTCAAGGTATTTCTTTTAAGACTTGGAGCCATTATATTTAACTAACATTTTCACCTCACGTGTAAATTGTAGATATTTCCGTGTGTTACAGACAAAAAGTCGGTTTATATGATATTTGATTTTTAATGATTCAAGAAACTATCTTTAGCCTACACATTTTCGTATGCTTACACTTGGCATGAAATGATTTCTTCCATTAAAATAATGATGAAAATTGTTGCCAGATGTCCAAAAATCCCTTTTTAATTTATAGATGCCTGAACTTCAATCTACAATGCAAAATTTAAGTAAGGAAATGATGAAAGCTGGTATCATAGAAGAAATGATCAGTGACACTTTTGAACCACTCGCCTCCGTCGAAAATGAGGATGATTTGGCATCTGCTGAGGTTAACAGAGTCTTATGGGATTTGACAGCTGGTCAGTTAGGTAAAGCTCCGGAGCCCGCGAACGATTCATTGTCAGTTTCGAAAGCACAAACGGAACTCTCAGTTTTATCAGTTCAAGATGATGATGAAGCAGAAGTGAATGCGCGTTTAGCTGCTCTTCGCAGTTGAACTTCGGCCTAATCCCTCTCATCACATGGGCTTTCTAGTTATCGAATGACTTGAATTTATTATATATTGTACATAAAACGGCGATGTTGTTTCCTAATTTTATTCTTTATATCTATGAAACATCTGTTGCTTAGTTTTATTTGTGCCTCAGGTTTTAGATCGAACCCCAAACTCGCAATACTTTGTCCAATTCTAGGGAAGGTGAAAAGACTAAGGTTTTTCGCTCATGTGTATATCTATAGTAATTAAGATTTTATTTTTATTTCCTTTTTTTCTGAACTGACAAGCAATCACTTTCATCATAAAATTACACTTATTTTGTCTTACTGTTAGTTTGTACGCACATTGATAAATAATTACTCATATACTTAACTTCCAATAAGAATTTTCTTATGAAAAACTCCTACTGTAATTGATTTCCGTTACTTTAGTTAACGCAGTAAACATAAGGCTGCCATCGAATAGCTAACCAAGGACATTGATCATATAAGCTACTGATGTGATTTTTATTTTTTTGTAATACGTCAATAATACGTAGTTTCAAAAATTGACTGGAATTTTCATTCTGTTGCGTGAAATCAATGTCAAAGTTAGAAGACTTGCTGAGTTAATGGGCTTATTTTTGCTGTCAACAACTTCTGAACGGATGACACAAACTAATTTTAGCGTCTTGTTTAATAATAATGGCCTTATTCAAAATTATATGTTTAATACACCTTGGAATATTTCTACAAGTTTACATTAAAAGACTAGCCAAAACAACTATCAATCGATACTTGCATACATATATGCCCTAAAAATATCAAGTAACATGCTATCTGGAATTTAAATGAAATTTGTTTCTTTAGTATGAGAATCTATGCAACTGTTTAATTAGGAGCATGTTTAGGGTACAATTTTCTGAGTGGGTCAGCTCTTATCACCTGTTTGTCACACAATGTATTTGCTAAATAAGTTATTGTACAGTTTCTCTACCTTTGCTTGCATGCACGGATTCTAGTGTTCTACTAGAAGATGTGCACTGAGGAAGATGTGAATGAAGTGGATGGCTAGCATCAGTTAACATTTACCAGGGGGTTTTCAAGCCTTTGAATGTCTTTCTACCATCATATTCATAATGACTTCAAACGATTCACCCTAAACTCTGCTAATCACCTTCAGCATTCTCTGCAACACGGTAAAGTCTTCTCTTAAAAACCGAGAAAAGAACAGAGAGGAACAGTAAAAAATAATAGGTAATATGGAAGAGTTTGCAGTGTAAAAGCAAAATGTCTAATAATGCTGAAAGCATGTAGCTCTTTGTATAATAAGGCAGATGAAAAACTTTTCTCGATGTCAGTAAAACATGAGAAGACTAAGAGAGTTCGGGAGATAAATGACTCATTTTATTTTAGAATCTCCAATGGTACAAACTTCATGGGGTCCCATCGAGATGGTTAAGTCCTATTCATGTTTCGGTCTAAAATTACCAGGTTGATATGTAGAAAGATTAAGTGTGAGACCTTTAACGTCAGACAATCGTTCAGTGAGCGACAAGAACTCACTCATATATAGGGAGTGTGAAGAGGCAGAGATCATTATACATAAAGTGATATCATCTGCTTACTTAACAGAAAGTTTTCTGTAGATGGCAGATTATGTGAAGAAAGAAAATATGGGATCAAAGCTTATGTTACGTACAACTTAGTAAAGATGTTGAACATTCCTATCACCGGATACTTTCTTTGGAATTTTAATTATCTTTATCATTCTCGCATTTTCTGTATACAATTTGTTGAGAAGGATTCATTAAAGATTTTCGTGAATGGGACATTAGCATACTTTTTAAAAAAGAGGTTTAGGATTTGGTCAGGTTTCAAACATTCGGACAAGTTAAATGACTGGAGACATTTTCAGACATCAGTCACAGTAAAAACCGAAACACATCTTATTGAAATTTGCGCATATAGGAAGCTTGATATCAGATGATTGACGTACAATAGATCTGTTTAATTCACAAATATTCAGCTGGTCATCGTAACTAATGCATATCCGACCTGTAAGCTCTTTAGGCGGTTTCCACATATTTAAAGAGTTTTTATAAAATAGGAGTTTTTGGGTAAATATTAGATTCACACGTTTAATTTCTTGCGTACATGAAGCTGGCTAAAATATTTACATTCACGGGTGCTGGGATTGTGAAATTTTAACTCAATAGATGCATAAATAAATAATATTTCACTGACTGTTTCATAAATATCTCATGTTAGAGTATATTACATTGATTATTCATAAAACTTGTAGCAGTTGAAATGAAATCGTTTCTAAATAACTCAGTAATCTGATTAAAGTTGCTTTAGAGTAATCAATCAATATTGTTGTCGATGTATGCGATATAAAGGAATTACGCACTTGGTAGTTTCCCAGTTATTTTAAGATGCTAGTTCTGTTTCTAATATGAAGGTTAGTTATTTCGTACTGATATTATTTGTTTTATAGCTTGTCATTTGGTGTTTGCCTTTGTCCGATATTACTCCGATGAATATTCGTGGTTTTAGGACCATGATCAGGGTCATATGTGCTCATTAGCAGTTATCTGTATACGTAAGCTTGAAAATTTGTCAAGAACTAAATGAGTTTTGTTTGAATGTGTACTAATCGAGTGAATAACAGTTCCTCTATAGTTTGTTACCTTTGTTGGAAGTATTAATTGCATCGTACGCTTAATAATAAGTTCGTATTGAAAATACTGGAAACAAATATAATGGAACTGTTCTAAACTTCATAGATGAGTTTAGTCACGAAAATCACGTATGATATGTTTGAATCAATAGATGTACTAATTAAAATCTGGTAATCATATCATCTGATTGAAAATGTCTGTTTATAGTTTCTTTTGTGGACTTGCCAATAAATGATTGACTGCTATTAAAGACGAAACACTAAAATTATATCCGTAGAGTTATATACCAATCTATTATTCTTGTAAGGAACGTAGTATTGATACATACCAATTAACACTACTTCTTACAAATCTCAAATGAAACAGGTATACTAATTTTGCTTGTTTTTTAATCTGTTTAATTAGAAATTAAATTCTAATGACTGAACAATAACTTCGTACATAAGCATCAATAAATAAGCATTTGATTTTCTTTTTCTGTTATCGACTAATATCAAATCATTTCGTGCATCACATGCATCTAACCGTTCAATGTGAATTTTGTTTCATCTGGTGGTTTATTCAGGAACAGATGATATTTAGTTGTACTAAAAGATATAGTCTGATGACTTTTAATTTTAAAAGATGAGGAAGCATTATATTATCTGGTAATTTTTCAGACATTAAGTAAGAAAGTTCTCAAGATATCTAATTAATTTATATATATGGTACCATGATGATCTAAAGGTAGGAGAAAGATGAGAAACTATCGTAAAACTGTACAAACATATTCTAAAAAATCCAATTACCTTTGTTTTATTGCTCTCTTAGGGGAGAGATAGTTAAAATAACTGACAACGCTAGGAATTTAAATAATCTTTAGAAGACTAATACATTATCATACACAGTTCAAAATACAAATCTGTCATCGAAGGTGTTTGGTATACAACATGTAATCGAAACACTTCTTCCTGTTTATCAACCAGTTATATTAAGTACCCTAATATGGCCGAGAGGTGAGGATTCACTTTATTCTTGGAACGCTTTCATATAATCATGTATATGTGGCCACTGTCCGGTAAGTCCTACTCACTGCCCCTTCGTGGCGGAGTGTTACTTTCAAAATTGAAGGCACGGAAACCGAGCGCCCAGTGCTTTGGGTTGGTGGGTATGGAGGATCCATCTATGGAAGTTGGATAGCCCTGGTCCCAAACCGTTGATAGATAGTGACCCCACTATCCTGAGGGAAAAGTGGCGTATAGATCTATTGTTGATTACTGACTACCATGAGACTGCATCTCCTTACATTGCTCTACTGCCTTGTGGACTAGACCTGTAGGTCAAAGGCTTGAGGAGTGGCCTCCTAAGGAAACCATCTGCTTCAGTTTAGGCGTCCGGGCAGTATCCTAGCATACTCAAAATCCGACAGTTTTTGTGGCATATAAATATTTAGGTTTCATTCAAATCATGAATCTATTATTGTTAGACTAGGTTTTTAATGATGATCTAACAATATTTAGGTGCCTGATTCTACCATTGTTTGTGTGTTTAAATACATATACTGTTGTGGTTTGTTCAACCTACGTAGCATTGCAAATTCACGAATATATATAAGAAACATTTTGTCTTCTAAACCCGTAAAATCATACAGATCTCGGACCATAGGTTCTCTTTCAAGCTTAAATAGGTCTAGGAGGTGTTTTATTTATGTTAAACGGCATCTCTGCATTTTACATTCTCTCCACACTTCTAGTTTAGTAATTGAAAGAATCAGAAATTTTTCGCAAACCATAACTGTCATTCGAGTTTAGTTAATTAGTTCTAAATTTACAATTTTAATTGATATAAAATGTGTGTTACGTGAATGTGTTACATTTTATGGAATTTTAGAGAATTACCAATTCTGTTTTTATATAGAGATAGCACGTGACTGTAACAATGCGTAGCATTTTGGATACTATTATTAAATAGCACTTGAAAAATGCAGTCAATAATGTTAATCCTAGTCTGGAGACCAGCTTACATTAGAATGGGTTTTAGACACTAGTTTGAAGTCTTTATGTTACACATTTTTATCCAAAAATGGGACGATTCAAAGCTTCAATGTACATGGAGAGTAGAATGTCATCTAGTTTCAATTACTATAAGCCTTATTTCATTATGAACTTGCATTTAAAACATTAACTAAGTTGATGTTTCAGTAATGTTTGTATTAAATGATTTATATATGGAGAATGCTGGTCGGCAGCCTATGCTCTATTAGGGGTAACAGGCATAAATAAATATGTACACGATGACAGTAAAAACATAATTTTTACACTTTAATATATATAATTGTGTTACAACTCTTCTTACCTTCAAGCATCGTACTTACTAGAATATCAATCACTATCTATAGAGAAGATAAAGTTTTATACTTTCGATCTGAAACTAGTCTATTTTTTTCCTTGATATAGGTGAACGATGAAATCATATTGTATGGTATGATTGTAACTATATTTTAGTGAAATATCGAAATGTTTTATATTTAAGGATAGTACTGAATGATGAGCTTTGCTTAATATGATTTGAGAACACAATAACGTGAATTGCAAATTAACCACGTGGTATCTTTGATAAATTGAGTTGAGTAATAAAATAATAGTAATTTATAAGAATTTTAAAATTAGTAAGAAAATTATCAGATACATTAAACAACTGTTCATGGACATCACAAATGAATCACTTTAACTATGAGGAATTATACATGGTATCAGCTAGCTAAAGAATAGGAATTTTATAGTAAATAAGTTTTTCAAAAAATCTTGATGTTTAAAGAAGTATACGGGTTATGTCGTCATGCGTTCAATATTGTCGTAAGATTTAAAGAAACCTATAAGAAGTGATTCGCTCATAAATTAACTTATCTCTCTTCACAGACTAAGTCACTGAAAGAAATTCTCCAAGAGCTTGAAGTGATAATTTCGTGAATTTCAACAGCTCTCAGTGTAAACATATGGAAACTCCATTAAGGTAAAAAAAAATCCAACTTAATATACTTAATCATTTCATGCTAAAGTACACTGATACAATTTAGAGGATTAGCTCCGTTCTTAAAGGCCCTTAGTGGGCACCCTTACCCAAGGAGACGGAAATCCGTGAGTTAGGGGAGGTGTGACATTTTTAGGGCCGACCTTTTCTAACCCTTCCTTCCTTGTGAGAAGGCAGCATCGCTGCAGATGCTGGTTGTCCGAGGGAAACATCTTACTGCTGTCACACCCCTCTGCGGTCAGCAGTACGACTTCGCCCTCAGACCTTGAGTAGCTGCTTTTAGTCTCATCGTTCTCCAATCGACCAGCCTGACATGGTAGGACCTGCAGGAACATATGTTCCAGCCAGTATAGCTCGGTTGGGTCATGACGATAGGCAAGCCCGACCACCACGTCAAGGTAGCAGCTTCGGTCGGACTGACTGACTGACACTGATACAATACTTACTTTAGAAGGAAATACCTCATAATGGTTAAATATATTTTAATAAAATCACTGTTAAAATTAAGCCTAAACTTTGTTTATTGAATTTTCGAGATGATCAATTTTCAATCAAAGGATTCTATGATACAAACCCTAATATCATTACTTAGAGAGCAAGTTACTTATACAGAAAACGGATTTAAGTAATCTGATTCATAATGAAAATGAAGCTTTAATCTTTTTTTCACTGTCTCAAGCTGGAATAACAATGAAGGCAACGAGTTTCATCGTCCTCAGGCTTTCTTTCGAAATCGAATATATGATGTTCTTAAATTTATTTGTGATTTAAAATCTTAAAGTTTTGAAGAATTAAAAGTTTCCATAAAAAGAGCAAGTGAAAGGGAATGACTGAAATCACCAAATCATATTTCTCAAATTTAACATGATTTTATTATGTAGGCTTGATGTGACATTAATCAACTGTGATATGAAAAAATGACAGCTCTTAATGTTTTTATCATTCAGAAATGAAAATACCTTTACTCAAGCTTTTAGGTTATCAAAATGATTAATCTCAACAATGTAATTGTATCGTTGTTAATTAACATTTTAAGTAGTAAATGTGTATGTATATATGTACAAAAAGGTGTAATTTATGAACAGTATTATGTTGTATGTCAAGCAATTCAAATATCCATACAGATTATACTTAGTGGAGGAAAATACCCTGAGTAATGGAAGCTTCTCGTATGCTAGACGCAATATCAGTTCTGCTGAAGTTAATCTTTTTTGTATTCCATTTAGAGCCACGTTTCACCTCCGAATTTTTGTGGCTGTTCGAATAACCCCCACAGTCTCCGGATTGTTCGGACATCTCATGTACTCATATTTGTTATTGTTTTGGTCTTAGAAACAAACAGCATCCTCGTGACTTACAAAGTTTGACCATGAGGCGTTCTAACTGTTTTATTCGAGGACCCTCCAATGCCCAGATGAATTTTAATAGAGTTACTGGTTTACTCTAATTAGCGTCTCAGTAACAAGGTATTTTTTCTTGAGGTGAGGTTGCTCAACTTACGCCTAATCCTTCTCTCTTACCTTGGCTTACGGATGACAGTAAATCTAGATGAGCTCCAGGAGGCATTAAAAACTCAGTGTTGAGTTAATAATCTACGAGTAGTTCAGCAAAATTACCTAGACACTTTAATGTTTAAATACTGTGTTCACACCTCAAAGGTTGATTTATTTTGTCTATATCGACTGGGTGGAATCGAAATTGTACAACTAAATACCAATAATGGAACATGGTTAAGCATCTATGGACTAGTGATATAAATTTCTCAGATATAGTGACACACCAATTACTGAAAAAAAATGGAGTTTTAGTAGTAGGGAACATAGCAAACGTTCACGTATAACAGGCTAACATTGCAATGCTATACACTTTTCTTACAGAGTCGAGCGTTCAATGTGGACATCTATTGTAATATAAGTCTGACTGTTGAGAAATAAAAATGAAATGCTCTTCTGAAAGGGAATACTTTTGCATTTATGATTATAAAAATCATAGGTGTTTGGACAAAGCACTTTCTTGGGTACACAGAAACTTACCGCACACTGGATAGTTTCAAAATTGCTGATGTACTTGACTCAACGAAGTCCTGGGTTCCCCGTTTATTTCTCCCGACTATTGATAGATATTTTTCATGTTAAATATATGGGATGACACTGAAGACCAGGAGGAGGATGAAGATTATGGAACATATATTTCAACGTGATCCACGAAAAATAACGACCGCTGCATGGATCTTAACCTGCTGGTTTAAAACTACCAACATGTTTTAGTTCGAAGTTAATGAGGCTATTAACTTAACCCGCATAACCTCGTTTGACTAAAATAGCAATCATCGACATTCACGAAAAAAATTAGTCAAAAAATATACAGGCCCACTAATTTGGATCTATTCTCTAAGATTGTTCTTGGGTTTTACTTTACAAAGAAAATGATCACACTGTTTTTAAAGATATTACGCATCGATTTTAGGATTACAGCAAAATAAAATTAGTAGTATTCAGAAGAGAATGAACGGAGTAATTAACTATAAGTGTTCATTTCTGTTTAGCACTTGTTAAATGGTCGTCGTGAAATAATTAATAAAATCTATTTCTTGTTTACGAGGTGTTATATGTAAGAGTATTTATTATCTCTTGATCTATTTACAAAGACCTTATTAGTTTCTGTTAGTACGTTCACATTTTGAAGGGGTAATGCCAGTGAGTATTAGTTTGATTGCTAAGCCAGTTGATTTCCAAGCACCGAGTTACAGTCTGAAAAAAATCAATGTAAATTTGAATAGTACAGCTCTATCATCATCATCATTAATTATTTATTTTTTTTGTAATAACAAGGAAGTGACTGTAACACATATTATTACAAAATCAAGTGTAAAGTTGCCACATACTCTGTTACAATATCTAATGCTTTTTAAGAGTATAGTCTACAAACAGTTTAAATGTTCTTTGAAATCCTGAGTTATTAATTGCATAATAGTAATTTGTCAGCTAGCTCAATGGAACTCTGTATGACTAAATGTATCAACCATGAGCTAAGTTTGAAAATTTTCGAACATATTATAGATATATGTTAGTCACTAAAGACGTGGAAATTTTCGATCATATATTATTAATCAGAATTTATCCGAATAACTAGACTCACAAAAATACTGAACACTTAATATACACTTCAATCAAATACAGAAGACAGTTCTCATGTTATAATAAAAAAAAAGTGTAAATAATTCATTCAAAGATGAGAACTAATCAAATTTTACAGACTCATAAAATATTACTTAATTGTTTACATCAGTTAATTATACTGAAGCAAAGCAAAAAAAATGTCATATATGTATAATATGAAATAGGATTAAAAAAAAAGTTCAATTCAATTGCAGGCATTATGATAAAACAATTTACTTGGGCGGGGGGCGGAACAATAGTCACGATATAAATTGTTTATTTGATACATAACAAAAAGAAATTTACTTGTGTAGTGATGAACACATGACGGGAGTAAAAAAAAAAAGAAAGAACAATGAATTATTATAACTACATGATTGTAAAATAATGCTTTTTAATAATAATAATAATAATACGAAAAGCATTAGGAAAAAAATTCAATGAGACAAAGAGTATTATTATTTGGTTTGTTGAATAAAGAGTAAGTAGTCTGTAATAATACTGTTGCTACCTATATTTTCAAACGCTCAACATAAACAGGTTAAGCGCGTTAATATCAATTTCAGCAATAATAATTCATGCAAAGTTTTTTTTTTATAAGTATGAAAAATTTTAAAGGGTATGGAGCAAGAACATTTACTTAATGAATATATTATATATAGAACAATACATGATCACAGTAGGGCTATTGCACCTAAGAAGAAAAGAAAACCAAACAACAGACTCTTGATAAACAAAGATTACCCTAATGAGAAGGAAACAAAAGAAAAAAGAAAAGTCAACTACATTATTTTGTGTTGAGTTTATCGATAAACTAGCAGATAAAAGAGTGAACTCATTTACATATTTATATACAAAAAGTAAACATTATTAATATTATTTGTTTAAATGTTATCATAAATTATTTATATCTGATGTATCAACAGCAGTAACATCTGATCCGATAAGGTAATGATTCATTTGTTCTGGTTTCGGTGTCATTTTTGAAGTTTGCGGTTGTCCTTCTATTTTAACTCTAGTTAAATCAGGTCGAACAGCATTCAAACATTCCCAGCTAATATCTAACGATGATCGACGTCCACGCATCCATGCAACATATTCTTCTAGTTTATCATTGCCTATAGCAACTGTTGCATTATCTTGAAGATAAAAAAAAAATCATAATTGATTGATATGAGAAAACAAATAATAAAATTAGAAGAATATATGAAATATACTATGGGATGTAAAAAAAAAAAGGTCGGTAGTTCGAATTATATTTAGCAGGAGTGTTTAGTTTATCTACAGATCACTAAGGGTATTTTTCCGCTTAGATTATTTTGAAACTGCTTCACTCGTTCTAAAAACATTAGTTACGATTTTATAGTAACTGTGATGTGAAAATATATTAAAACATTTGAAGCTAGTAAGGATGATATGCAATCAAGTTGCCCATTATTAAACCCAATATCTACAGCAAGTAGAATAAGGAGTGACAAGCATAGTCAGAAATTAGGTCATGATAAGCTTTTTAGACATAAAGATATAAAAAGCATGGGATTATGTACACATATTATAGTACTTCATAAAAAAAAGAGTAAGAAACAGAATGAGTTCTAATGTGATATTGATCGAAGATTCAGTTTATGAACTTAAACTTATGAAAAAATTATAGGTAATCATACTGTTAACAGAGTATAAGCTAAATATCACAAAACAGAATAAGGATAAAGGATATAACAACCAAATTATCATTATAAGGGTGTGGAGATTATTCAGTTTCATTCAAATCAGGAACCGATCACCATTGGAAGCACAAGACGGCCGTTTCTTTCTAGTATAGCATTCACCAGCAGCGCGCGTTCACGACCACGCATGTAGGAATCGAACCCGGGAACTTCCGTATTACGTGCGAACGCTTAATATTTCCAGCATCCAACATTGTTGATGTTTAATATTACACGAAACGGTCGTCCAATGCCTCCAGGTTTCCAATAACGGTCTAACATTTATTGATTCATGATTTCAACGTAACATCTAGATTATTTAACTTACTAATGAAGGAATTTAACTTGACCATATACAAGTCAACCTTCAAAAAAATAACAACGCCGAATTATGACATAAACGGTGAACATTCTACAGACTTTTACTGAATTATCTTTATCGAGATTATTATAAATTATCTATGATTAGTTTAAACAGCAAATTATCACGTCATTTGAATATATAGTAACATAAAACTACACCTACCATGATGAACAGAGTTCACATGACGATAAAAATCCCAACGACGAACAAAACCCTTGTGGCATACATTACACTCATATGGCTTTTTGTCTGAAATAAATAAGGATAATGTTACCATTAATATTATCATTTTAACAACAACAATAGAGAAAGCTAGCTGACAAACAAAATACCCATTGTCCTGATAAGCAAGTGTCAAGAATAGAAAATAAAGATATTTCGTTGGATGTTATATTTGTTCGCTGGCTCTACTTCTTTATCTAAATATCTCAGTACGACGTTATACGATTATTTTATTTTAACATAGTTTATATTACTGGTCAAGTATATCTCCTTCAATAAACTGGCATGTCTGAAGTTTTGGTTTGAGTGAATATGTTCGCTTTTTTAAAAGCTATCACTTACGTGAATCTTTGATAAGGTGACTAATTCACAAAGTATTTTAGGAACATCTACATATTTCAGTGATTTGCAGTTAGAAAATTTTCAATCTATTCAAGAAGTACATTTTAAGTTCGTGCTAAACTACAATAGAATCAAAAATCAGACTCACCTTAACAATTATTTATTTATTTATGACATTTATGAAATATCGATTAAAAGTGTATTAATTCGTTGTGCTATTATTATACAGATGGAGTATAATAAGATGAGAAGATATGCTATCATGATTAATGTACGGAAGAGTAGTGTCAAATCGTAACTTCACCTAATCATTTCCATACAGAGGGATCTTATAATGAACCGAAAAAATGTCGATTCAGACTATTTTTAAAAAGTTTAGGGTGAATACGTAGATTTAATAGGAATTTAGTCATCAAATTTCTTGGTTTACTGAGCTGTAAACCGAATTCGGCAAGTACTTATGTACACCGGTTGACAAAATCAAAATGTATAATTCAAATTAATAAATGTGTGAAAACATCATCATTTAAAAAATTATGCTCATGTAGCCGATGTTGATTGCTTTATCATAAAACCTTTAGAAAAAAACATACTGAAATAGCATTTTAGTAACAATCCGTAATAAATAAAAGAACTATATGTACGCATATTATTTGTCAAAGCAAACTAAACTGTATCACAAAGTAAGCCCTAATTTGGGATCTTCATGAAAAAAATAGAAGCAGACTAAAGAACACATTGCGCTGTGACTTGACAGCAGAGATGAAAAGAGTGAACAACTGGAAAGGAGAGACCAAGACAAAGTTGGTTGGATATTTGTAGTCTACAGCCTAATCTCCACAATGGCTTACAGACCTAAAGTAGTTTGCGATGAAGTTTAGAATAAATTTAATAACATTATATTGAAAAATATAATTACATGTGACAAGAAACAGTGTACAAGAGATGGAAAAAACCTTATAATAAGGGAATAAAAACAGTAATTAGAGTAAAAGCAACAACAATCACTTACCTGTGTGTACCTGTATTATATGAGCTTGTAAGCTTTGACGTCGAGGATAAACTTTGGAACAAGTCGCACACTGATATTCTTTTGATGGTCTAGAAGGCGATGGAGTTGAGGGAGCTGTATGTAACACAAGAAAACTCTGTAGTGAATACAACTTTAAATACTTTATATAGTAAGTAGGTTAATGACCGGAATATGCTAAAAATATCACTAAGCTGAATGATCATTGTATTACTTGAAATCTATACATTTAATTGACTTTTTTATATTTACTGGACAATTCATGACAAACGAATGTTTTGAATTGACTGTCATTTATTTTGAATGTGTCTACTAAAATGTCGGGGATTGATCTTCTGTGAATAAAATGAAATAGAGGACAAATTTTAAGCGGACTTGTTCATGATTACGTTAAACAATATTTTCTGTGATAGTGTTTAATAGAAATCGAGCACAAATGCACTGATAGAAAACTTCAAGAAAATAAATCATTTCCATAGCAAATCTTTTAGAGAATCGAATGAATGATTTTGAATTCAACTGATAAAGCAATGCAAAAATCTCATTCAATAAACCCTGTATACAGAATTAACCTGATTAAATATTAGTAAATCCATGATCGCAGTTAATTATTACTGAAGTTTAACTCTTTATACAAGTAAAACGTTAACTTTTATCATTTATTTAATAGGTAAACACTTTCATGAAAATATGAAAAAGGAATGAAGTATTTAATTGAAACATAAATACGAAATGTAAGTGAATTTTTATAACAAACATAAAAATTACCAGTAACAGCTATTTGTGTAGAATTAAAGGTTATCGGTTTAACGGGTAAATGACTAACACCAAACGGAGGGGTGATGAATGTCGCTGAAGTTGTAGCACAATTGGGACGAAATAGTGTATTGGTACTTGTCGGGAGAACTGCTGTATGTGGGTTCATAGTAAGTGTATTCGCAAATGGAGTGGTTTGTTGTGGTTGAAAGAAAAATGCCGGCATAGGCATATTGACTCCAGGAGCAACCATCATTACCTGTGTACCAGAAGGCATTGAATTCTGAACAGACCCTGGTGTAGCAATTATAGTGCCCATAGCTAAAGTATAAATTATAATCAAATAATTTATTTCGAAAGAGATGTACAGAAATAACATATAGATTTATAAATATAGAGATATGATTTCTCAGACTACTTTTATGACATTGGTAAAAGTAACATTTCAAACCTTGAATCCAAATGTTGAACTAAATCACCAGTTTATATGAACCGATTTTTGATAAGTGCAAACGACATAGACGTGATAATAATGGTCTTCTTAAATTACCTTGGGATACACATATCAAATTAGTAACTCAAGATTGTTGATGGACACACCAACAGGCAGAAATCTCAGTTTTAATGTTTCGTTCGCCCTATTTTAAAAACTTTGAAGATTCATTAAGCCTATTTAATCCATAAAAAAAGTTCAAAGAAAGTTCTGTGTAAACATATTTAATATTGATTTTTAAGGAAAAGTGAATACAAAAACCTCAAATATCCAAAAAGACAACCAGGTGACCAGTAACGCGAGAACCAAAAGAGTTAAAAACTGAAAACATGGGAATTGTATAACAAAAATTGACACGAATGAAATCTAATGTAATAGTGTCAATAATTATACTACTGACAACTTACGCAAGTTGACTTGTTGAGAATGAGGTTGAGTTTGCAGGACTGTCAATTGTTGTTGATGAATTAATTGATGCTGTTGTTGTTGTTGTTGTTGTTGCTGCTCCTGTTGATGTTGTAGCATTTCTTGTATTTGCTGTTGTTCTTGTTGGGTTTGTAGAGTTTGATGCTGTTGTTGAGACTGTTGTCGTGGCACCGTAAAGGATACTGGAAACGGAGTTTCTATAAAATAGCCGAAATGATAGTCATAAAAAGAATACTTGCATGTAAAACTTAAGTGAATTTAGAATAACTTAAAGAAAACTAAACTCTATAAATTATGACTTTATGTATATGATAAGACAATAAATTAAATGATCTACGCATGAAGAAACAATTATACGAAGTCGCATGTTTAAGTCATCGAAGAAAAACAAAAGCAGTCGAAACAAATTCTTTATTCATAATGGCTGGTGAGATAATAGTTCCAAAGAAAGAAAAATGTAGAAACACTTCGAAAATTTCTCACTTTAATGTAAACAGTCTAGTGATATTCAAAAGCTTAAAGGGATTGACTACATATCATGCTCAGACAGCTTCTATGTACATTATACACAGCTTCTTCAAATAAAAAATATAGCATTGAATCTGGGCGACGGATGGATGACACGAAAGGACAAAAAGACCTAAGTACTGAAATAAAGGTAAATACATTCAATTGCGCTGTTCAGCAATGGAATTTCTCAGACTAATATTTTCCTACTTATATCAATTATGTTAGGAAATTTTTGGTTCATTTATCGTAAAGATTCCGAGCATATAGCATATTACAGGTAAGCACTTCAACGTGAACAATTGTTGAAGATATTCATTACCTATAAAACCGACACAGGTATATTAGCCATCGGAATTTATTAATTATTAACGTTTCGAAAAACATGTGGATGAATAACAGAATATTCGGAAGAAACTAGAAAGAAATTCTTAGAAGCGCACAACGGGAAAAATTATTAGATAGAAAATGTTGTCAGATGACCAACCAAACACCGAAAGGTGATTACGAAGCAAATATCACTGAATGCAATACACACGAGCTAACTACATAAAGTTATACTCACTTTTATGCACAGAAGCCACATGACGTTCAAAATACCATTTCTGTGGGAATCCTTTATTACATAATGGACACATGTAAGGTTTGGAATCTATAGTACATAAATCGAAAAATTTCATAGTTATACAAAGAAAAGAAATCACTAACAAAAATCGTATTATACAAATATATACTTGATAATGTTGTTGATTGAAAATAAGGTGACATATAACTAACGAAGTCTACAAATAAACTATTAGAATATTTGTTGATGAAAATATAGTAGCCATTTTGAAAAACGTTTATTCACCGGACTGTTATTTTCTAGTAAGTATACTTTAAAGTTAACTTCAATCGGATATTTTGAATGCAACCCGAGAAAAGGCTTCATTAACAATCTGACAAAATGCAGAGTCTTCTGACCATCCTAAGCAACAATGCAAGCATATTCGAGATGCGATTCTCACCCTCGAAATGCAAAATGTTTCATCGGTACCTGAACTAGTGATAGGGAGTGAAGTAGTCGAGCGTGTTGATCGCTTCACTTATCTGGGGAGTCTCATCAGTGCCGATGGCCTGGTGACTGACGAAATCTCTGCACGGATACAGAAAGCTCGACTGGCTTTTGCCAACTTGCATCACTTATGACGTAGGCGAAATATCCGTTCGCTGACGGGTGTACTGCGCAGCAGTTCGCTCCGTTCTCCTGTATGGATGCGAAACATGGCCTTAAGAGTAGATGTTCGTAGGTTACTAGTATTCGATCATAGATGTTTAAGAAGCATTGCTCGTATATCATGGGACAACCGAGTAAGCAATGCTGTCGTTAGGAAACGAGTACTAGGTAGGGATGGCAAATCAATAGATGAAGCATTGAAACTTCATCAGTTGAGGTGGTTGGGACATGTGTTACGTATGGCTAACCACCGACTGCCGCGACGAGCTATGTTCTGCAGTGTAGGAGTAGATTGGAAGAAAGCTAGGGGCGGCCAAACTAAAACATGGCACAAATCCATGAAGTCAGTGACAAGTGGACTGAGTCATGTTGGTAGATGTGGACTACCTGGTTGGGGTCCACAAGACGATAGTCACCGATAGTTAGAGACCTTAAACGACATGGCTTAGAATCGTTTGCAATGGCGCAAGTGCATCCACTCTTTGTGTTCTATGAAATTCTAACCTTCTGCATTCCTCATAATCTCTACCTTTCTCCTTCTAAATTTATCTTACTGAATTCTACTTCTCGAATCATATCTTCGTTATCTAATCTTCTGCATTACTGCTAATACTTCTATTATTGCTATCACTTTTGGATTTGAACTGACAGTTGCATCTCTGTGCAT